TTATATCAATTTACTTTCATCCCTAATGAGAACTATTTTTCAATGGCAAGGTCAGCCCCCTCTTTCACTGACACCCCTCTCCTGTCTCCCCCCTTTCTCAAAATCAATTTGACGCTGCACAGATGTTGTACTAACAGACTGAAGCAGCAACGCATCCCATTAAAAGTTTCAACAGCAAAACAGCAGTGTAAGATTATTGAAGCCCTTTCACAGAAAGTTGCGTGTTGATGTTATACTGAGTGTCTTCTCAAGTTCTGTTGTCACTCCGAGGAATGCTAGGTTAGAGCACTCGCCTCGCAAATGAGAGGACCTGGGTTCGATTCCCGGGCAAGGCAAAATGTTAGGCAAGTTTCTTTACTTCACACGCCTCTGTTTACTTTAGCAGTAAACAGTCAATTGGCGGATTGCTTTTCTAGGGGTAATAATCCCTTCAAAACAATATAATGAATAATTTGGTTATTCAAACCACGATTGTTTGTGTACATAATTGGCTGCCGGGTTTTCACCCACAAAATATAGAGTCAATTCACTTTACAGTATACTCTGTGAAGTGCTTTGAGACGTCTCAATGATATGATAAGGCAAATGCAAAGATTATTGTTATGAATGCGACATGTTGATTTGTGTTTTGGGGAATAGTGCAGAGAGCAGCCCCTGTGTGATCTCTTCCTTGTTTTAGCAGTCTGCTTAGTGTATTGGTTTCTGGACTGCTATGACTTGATGTTAAACTTGTGTACTAAATGCACTAGGTTCCCATCAGTCCGTGGCAGGGTTTCCGCTCTCAGCTCCCTTCCTCCCCCGATTTACTTGCGGATTGATGGAGACAGGAAACAGCCCGGAGAGAGAGAGCAGCTGTGGACAATCCTGTGTCCCGTGTAAGAGGCATGAATCTAAGCAGACCTGCTGAAGCTAATGCTCCAGACAGACAGACAGACAGACGGAATAACTAAGGCAAAACAACATTATGAGGAGCTGTGAGATTTACCGAGCGCAATAATGATTTTGCTTCACGGAAAAGACAGGGGAGCTCGAAATACTGTAACCACAAACTGATAGTGAGAGTTTTAATGTCCAGACACAGCCAGAATAAGACTCACTGATTGCCAAGAATATTGTATGTAGTTTGAACAATAAAAATCCTTGCATTGGATATAGCTCCTTATCACGTCTTCAAGACATCTCAAAGAATATTCTGTAAAGTGAATTGACTGTGTATTTTGTGGGCAAAACTTGGCAGCCAATTGCACAGAGGAGTGTCCCACAAACAGTTGTGGATTGAGGGACCAAATTATTATTTTTTTAAAACTATTTATTTTTGAAGGGATTATTACTCCAGAAAAGTGACCTGCCCCCAACCAAGTAACAACAAGAAATGAAATAAAATGCGTTTGCAGTAGAATAAACCTATGAATTAAAGTGATACATAACTTGCCACAATTATATCTCTCAAAATGCACTTGTGGAACTATATCTGTCCATCTATCTATCTGTCAATGCTACTCCAGTTGTGGCCTATTTGTGTGTAAACTATTGACCAGAGCTCAAAGCTAAGGATTGAGGTCACTGTTAGTAACTGCTGCAAAACATGGAGTAAGTTTATCTAACAGTCTCAGAACTGCAGTTAACGTTATCTTAAGTCGATGTTAATAGCACAAATGGTAGCCCCAGTTTATCAGTACAAAGCACTGTTATAATTCACAGTTCTTGTCCACTTTAGAGTTATCCCTGCAATCCCAACCCGTATCCTTCAGGGATAAGCACATGTCTAGCTACAACTTCAAGTAATTTTCAACAATGAGCCAATCAGCCTGGTCTGCTTGTTGGAATGCTAATGCTGAGTATCCCACATCTCAGTAGTTATTGAGTTTCAATTATGTTTCAAAGTTAATTCAAAATTATTTTCATTGTGCGTCACTAAACGGTTTTTCTCAGTGCCATACCCTTGGTGAGCCTTGTCATTAATTAATTGGGATTGGGTATTTGAAGGGACGTCATCTCTCAGTGTATTATCTGGTTGGTAATACCTGCCTCTTGTGGCTGAAGGGATGGGAAATGTTCCATTGCTGTTTTGAGCAGCCACCAAGAGGCACACGACAGCCCACTAATAACTCTTCCTTGGAATTCTTCTTCTGCAATTAGGAACTCAGCAGAGCAGCAGGAATCAAACCACCGTGTACACCCTATGAACACGCATGTTCATAATCCATACCGACCTGTCCGCACTTTCCTCTCAGCGGCCTCTGGCCTGCTCCATGTCCCCCGCCCAGCCCACCCCACCATTGGCGGTCGAGCTTTCGATCTCTCGATCTCTCTACCCGCACCCTTTGGAACTCCATCCCACAGTCCCTTTGCCTCACCTCCGTCAAGGTTTGTCACCCTCTTACCCACACCCTCACTGCCCTCCACCCCTCCTGATACCAAACCCTAGCTTGGATGCAATTCTTTGACTGTCGAGTGCTTTGGGATGTCCTCTTGACAAAGGAAATTTGTTGTTGTGGTAATTGACTAACTCGGGACTGTCAACTGAGACTTGTGCATTCAAAGTCTCCATGTGGGTTTTGAACACACAGTCTTCTGACTCAGAGACCAGAGTGCTCCCAAATAAACCAGGATGACATTTTATATTTTGATCCTGAGCCAAGCTAATGGTATTGTTGTCTTGTTTTGCTCACTACCGGAGGATTGCTGCTCACAATCATTACATGTAGGTACACTAATAATAATCCTTGCATTTTGTATTGCGCCTCATCACATCATTGAGACATCTCAGGATTTTACTGTGCATTTGTAGGCAAATGTGGCAGCTAATTTGCTCACAGTGATATACTACAGCACACACTACTGACACATGAATTCATGGTTATCGTTTGAGTTATCATAAATCCTGTATGTATCTTAATAGCCAGATATAGTGGTGTAAGTGTGGCCGACTTGTTTCAATAATGCTTTTGCTGCATGTTTCATGATTTACAGAATTTAAATTTTCTTGCTTATAGCTAACACGGATGGCTGCTACACAACTATTATTATTATTAATAATAATATCAATTGTCATTAATAATAATCCTTGCATTTGATATAGCGCCTTTCACGTCAGGGGGACATTTTAAAGCGCTTCACATGATTTACTGTAAAGTTAGTGACTGTATTTTGTAGCTGAACAATGTGAACACGATACACCTGGAGCTTATTAAAAATAACTGTTAAAATATTTGAACAGCAATTAGGTGAAATTCACTTGTCACATATGTGAAATGTGCCTTGAATATACACACAAAAATGTATGCCAGTTCAAATAGGCATTTATATGGGCATACCATACATATCACAATACAGCTCGACAAACACACAGTTACAAACAGACCTGCACACGGACACACACACTCTTTCCCATATATTTATAACGATATACCCATACAAATATAACTTGAAACTCAATATTCACTTACAGATCTTGTCCTAGACTCCTTCAGATTGTTAAAGCTGCTGCCTGGTGCAATATAAAGCTTCAAAGACCAGAATGTTGCAGGTTGAAGTTATGATCTGCAGTTGGGGCAACAATTTGCTGTGTTGGGGGGTGGTGGGGGTAATATCAGCGAAAGCTCTCATTCTTGACTATTAATTGGGAGGGGGTATTTGAAGGGATGTCATCTCTCAGTGTATTATCTCATGACTATTCAATGACGCTCCCACCCCACTGGAAGGTGGAGTCCTGTAGCTCAGTGATTAGAGCACTCGCTTTGCAAGCGAGAGACCTGGGTTTGATTCCTGGCAGGGGGCGAAACCTTGGGCAAATTTCCTTACTCCACACGCCTTATAATAATCCCTCAAAAAAAAACAATAATAAATTGGTCATTTCAATCCACGACTGTTTGTGGGACACTGCTGTGCGCAATTGGCTGCCACATTTTGCCCAAAAATATACAGTCAATTCACTTTACAGTCTATTCTGTGAAGCACGTTGAGACGTCTAGAAGATGTGAGAAGCGCTATATCAAATGCAAGGATTACTTTATTATAACAACAACAACAAGATTCCATTTATAAAGCGCCTTTCACGTCAGGAGGACGTCCCAAGGCGCTGCACAGTTGGGTCATGACCCGAGCAGGGGGGAAATGGTCAGGGTGAGGGGAGGGAAGGGAGGGAGAGAGGAGGGGGAAATGGTCAGGGTGAGGGGAGGGAAGGGAGGGAGCGAGGAGGGGGTAGAGAGTCGAGAGGGGAGCTGAAGGCTGAAGGTCAAAGAGAAAGGTTTTGAGACCGGCCTTGAAGGAGGAGAGGGAGGAGGCGGCGAAGGCACTGGGGGATGGAGTTCCAGAGCCTGGGGGCTGAGAGGCTGAAGGCCCGACCACCGATGGTAGGGCGGTTGGGGCGGGGGACGTGGAGCAGACCGGAGCCAGAGGAACGGAGGGTACGGGCAGGTAAGTAGGGGATAGTAGGTCGGAGAGGTAGGAGGGAGCAAAGCCGTGAATGGCCTTGTAGGTGAGGATGAGGATCTTGAAATCAATCCTCTGGGGGATGGGGAGCCAGTGGAGGCGAGCGAGGGTGGGAGTGATGTGGTCCCGAAGCCTGGTGCGGGACAGTACACGAGCTGCAGAGTTCTGAATGACAAGGTGTATATAAGGTGTGCAAGTGAGGACAGGATTAGGTTCAGTTGTGATGCTTACAGCCTACCAACACTCACTGTGAAGGCTCACACACGAATACAGTCATGGCCTCGGTTGTGATACTGGAGGGTGACTGGTGCCTGTTGAACTGTACCTAATGGAAAGAAGAAAGAGTCAAAACTCTTCAGGAACAAAGAGGGGGAAATGGAACAATAATAATAACCTTTACATTTGATACAGCACCTTTCACGTCGCGAGGACATCCCAAAGCGATTCATAGAATTCACCGTAAAGTAGTGACTGTGTTTTTTGTGGGCGGGAAGGAGAAAGTTGTAAAAGAAATAAAAGTCCAATACATGCTGAGTAACGGTGTGTATTTTTTTCTCACGTTGCAGTACTACGACACCGAGTGGACTTTGTGGGATCGTTTTAAGGTACAAGGTATCAAACCAAACGGTGAGGAAATGACGCTACAAGAATTTTTGGATTATTTTAAGGTAATATTTACTTATCGTACCATTAGTTTATCATATTCAACCTCGTCTCTGCAGTTACTGCTAAGTAATCGGTAAGCGGAGGGAGCGAGCATTTCATTCCAGACACAGGGAAATTTCCCGCGTGTAGGTGGCTTCATTCGTGGAACTCTGGTCCTCTTTGATCGTGTTTTTGTTTATTTTCCCTGCACAACCCCATAGCTCTGGTGTTCAGCCAGAATTGTCAGAATTGCTTTGGGATATCCTCTTGACGTGATAAACACTAAATGAGTGTAAATTGTATTGGTCTAGATACTGTTAAGCATGCTAATGGGTTTCCATATGTGTCAGACTCCCAGTTTACTGCCCCAAAAAACATACACTACTACACCAACCCACATGCTCAGTTATACAGGAACTGTGTTGTTCTGGAGCCTTTACAAGAACTGTCTGAGCATGGAATTATACAGTTGGCTCCTCATTGTCTCCTTAGGAAAACTATAAGCAAAGTGGAGCCCATAACAACTGTTTATACCTCGCTGGTCTCACAAACAAGGTGATAGATTCCCTCTCCCACCACATACAAAACAAAAGTCTTAGCCATGGAGGTGTTTGATGGGAAGGGTCTAATGGAGCTGGTTTGCTGACGTTCACAGCCTTAGGTAACATTTTATTGATGCTCCTGTTATTAAACAGTTGGGGAGATTATGAACTATTTGATGAATTATTATTGTGTAATGTTATTATGATTATTGTTATGAAACATTAATATTAATGTTACATTATAATTAAATGTTCACCCCCTCCCTTGCCTCCATCAAGGCCAGTCTCAAAACTTTCCTTTTCAACCGTACCTTCGGTCATCTTCCCTCCTCCACCCTCTCTTGCCCTCCACACCTCTCTAATCCCAACCCACAGCTTGGGTGGAAAACCTTCATTGCCCAGCACTCAAAGGGTTAAAGCCAGTGGGCTGGCATCTTATTGCATATGCTGAGTTGTCAGCAGTATATCGGCAGTTTGTCGATCAGTAAAGATAAACAGTCAATATCAAGAAGGTAGCTAAATAAATAAACTGTCAACGGGCCCTTATTAGTCAGCCAGTAAACCTGCGATTGATGTGTGAGTGTGTGCCTGCTGGACAGAAGTGGCCTTTTTGCATTTAGAACAAGCTGTTATATAGGGGGTAACAATGTGTGCTTGTCAACGAGATGGAGTATGGACAACAGCCCATCGGCATCAGGGTTAAACAGGTACAGTCTGACACATCTCCAGTTCCTCAACCAGAAAGACTGAAATGGCAGAACATCTGATCTCTTAATCGTATTATATCATGAGAGCCAAACCTGTTGAAGTAGCAAACATTACAACTGTGTGCTTGTCAGACAGTATTTGATACCCAGTAGGAATCTAATGCTGGATGTTATAGAGACATTGATGAGTGCATTAATGGGATATATTCCAACTCCATCCTCCCTTATCTTAGTGAATCTTTCAGCGCCTTGGGACGTCCTCCTGACGTGAAAGGCGCTTTATAAATGGAATCTTGTTGTTGTTGTTGTTGTTGTGAACCCCGGTAGTTCATGTCCCCCAAACTACTCGCACTCCATTAAAGAGAGGCTTTCAGTCCCCGCCCCCAAATAAAATTTGTCGTAAACTTCATGGCTGTTTGGGGAACATTGTCTACAAAATGCAGTCAATCCACTTTACAGTATATCCTGTGAAGCTCTTTGAGACACCTCGATGACATGATAAGGTGCCATACTAAATGTAAGGATAATTATTATTAAGTGATTATTATTATAGTGTGCAAATTGGCTGCTACATTTTCCATCCTATACACTTCACTACACTTTACAGCAAATCCTGTAAAAATAATTTTGGAACATTTTGACAATATAATAAGGCAAGTAATATCAAATGCAAGGATTATTGTTATTATATCCTGTAAAGCACTTTGAGATGTCTTCCTGAGGTGACAGGCATGATATAAAATGCATGGATTATTATTATAATATTTGAATAAAAGTGAAATGTCTTATGTAATTCTCGCATTACTCTGAAAGTAACATAGATACCCCATGAGCTGTTATTCAGAGTTAATGCTACACTTGATAGACAGTAAACCCTGTCACCTACAACAGACAAGCCCTGGGTTCCTCTTCTACTGTGCGAATTTCAAATCTCTCCACAACTCTTGATCCTCATAAATATTCATTTATATTTTCCGACATATATAACAACAATAACAACAAAATTACATTTGTAAAGCGCCTCTCACGTCGGGTGGACGTCTCAAGGCGCTGGACAGACCGAGTTATTATATATATTACAGTACCAGAAGTTGTAGGTTTGTTTCTTAATTTGCTTCTTAAGTGAAAGGACCCAGGTTTGATTCCCAGGCGGGGCGAAATTCTAGACAAGTTTCCTTAATCCATACACCTCTGTTTACCTAGCAGTAAGTAGGAACTCGGTTGTTATTCGATTGGTATATTGCTTTCCAGGGGTAATAATCCCTCGAAAAAAGTATGGTCACTCAATCAACAACACTGCCCTGAGCAATTGGCTGCAGCATTTTGCCCACAAAAAACACAGTCAATCCACTTTACAGTATATTCTGCGAAGTGCTTTGGGACTTCTCAACGGTATGATAAGGCCCAATACCAAATGCAAGGATTTTATTGATTATTAATTTAATATATCTGAGCAAAATCTATCAATCATTATTGTGAGTAAGCCTCTTTATTGGTGGCTGATGGAGGAGAGTAAAATTGTCTTGCTGTTGCTGTGAGCCTCAGATTGTGATAAACTAGATGGATGAAGGCGTATTGTTGGCTGAACAGGAGCCAGACTTTTGTTGAATGGCCATTTCAAGCATAAACATGCAACAGGAGTCTGTGTCTGCATCCAGGCATGGGTTGCATTTGTAATTAATGGTATCTTCACAGCAGCAACCAGAGGAGACTGCACTCCACGGCAACACTTTACTTGAGTTTGATTTGATTTGGTTTTACCAAAGAAGCCCTGCAATCAAAAAAAAATAGATGTTAAATGCTCTCGATCAAAGCACAATTGTCATTTTGACAGCGTCAGAGAAAAGCCGTAATGAAAAGAAAGAGCCATAAACATGGTTTTTGCTTAATCCAGGTGTGCTGTGCTGAAACGATTAACCCTGATACTCTTTTGTACAAAGGGCAACAAAGTTCCTCTTTCACTTCTTCTTCAATGCAACTGAATTCATAGCTTGAATGCAAATTAATAAATGGTTCTCCTATTTGCTTTTTATTGTGTGTGTTACTCTGGGATAGTTTCGTCAACACAAACCTTGCTCTATTGTTTTACAGAATGAACATCACCTGTATGTCACAGCGCTGGCTTTTAGGATTTGTTTCGTTCCCACAGATTCAGAGGAGAAATTGGCACTGAGGTTTGTAACCCGCATCAACCTTTAAATGAACGTACAAAAGCAAGCACCAACCCCACCCAGCCCCCCACCCACTCACCCTGCCCTGCTCTTCCACAAACTGTGGTGTTATTGAATCTTATCTGAAAATTGACTGAGGGGGAGTTATACTCAGGTTGGTTAGGGATCCCAATGAGAATAACTTGTATATATGGATTCAGAACTACACATATTTGACCAAAACTAAACATTAATATAATAATAATCCTTGCATTTGATACAGCGCCTTATCATGTCGACGAGACGTCTCAAAGCGCTTCTCAAAGTATACTGTAAGTGAATTAATTGACTGTACATTGTGTGGGCGAAACACATCAGCAGTTTCCCACAAACAATCGTGGATTGAAGTGACCATATGATTATTATTAATTTTTTTTAAGGAATTATTACCCTGGAAAAGCCATCCGCCAATCGACTAACAACCAGGTTTCTACTTACTGCTGGGTAAACTGAGGCGTGTGCAGTAAGGAACACTATTGTAGATGTAATATTTCACGTATTGGTAAAAATAACAGGATGAATTTGGAATACAGGGACCAGTAGCATAATTCCTATGATGACAATTTATTTCATTCTCTCACTATCTACACATTCCAAAGCCCGTTGGAATGACTATCCTCCTTGGGGTGTGGAGGGAGGTAAGCGGGGTCTCCTTGGAGCTGAACTGGCTCGCAACTGGCTTCGCAACGGAATTTCGGAATCAAGCCAGTCCTCTGTGGTGGTCTCAGTAGTCCGGTTCCAGAACCAGGCAGGTCCACAGTAATCCGGGGCACTGCTGATGACAGCGCAGCCAGCCTGGCTCAATGGCAGGACCTGGAAGGACAGACCAGTCTCTGGGAACAGGGAGTCATCTCACTCAGCTCCTGTAACCCTGCAAGCCAAAGCCCTAACGGGTAGGGTGGTCCTAGCTGGACAAGCAATGGGAAAGCTTGCCGGAAGCAATATCAATGGCAAGCTATGCGGTTTTACCTGGTTAGACTCCAGCAGTTATCCCAACGCACACTCTGGGTCCCCAAGCCTTGGCTCTTGCCAACCTACGCCTAATACTTTCCGGAATTAGGTAAACAGGATGTGTCCCTCCAGGGAGCGAGTGTGCATTCCATTCCAACAATCTATCTCTGAGATTTCCATGTGTAGATGGGATGCATGGAATTTTCAGCTTAGTTTGGATACTCTTAAGGCTGGTGATGGGTTTCTGCACGTGTCAGACACCCGGCTGATCAAAACAAAATTCCCAATCAATACATAGTTTTATTTAATTCCAAAATCTTCTTTCAATATTCAAGGTAAATATGTGTGTATTTAGAGTGATGGATGCACAAACGTTTCAGACGATGCTAAACCCAATATCATCATTGAATTTTGCAAATAGAACAGTCCTCACACTTACTCTCCATTGTTGCTGTTCACATTACTTAAAGTTGTTTACAGATTGCTACCATCCCTTATGGAATAGGAAATGCAACTGTCTTGAGTATATTATAGACATAAAAACAATTAACTCTTAGGTTAGAGGCTGAGCACTTTCTGTTCAGTTACTGAGCAGTTAAACGGGTCACTGCTGGGGAAAACGTCATGTGTACCTGAGCCTCCATCTGGCTCTCACAGCAGCTTCATTGCAACTCCTGGGCACATGGTCTCAGACCTTGGGTCGTGCAAGTCAGACAGTCTCAGGCACACCATCATCCTGGGAAATGGTCAGCTTTTGAACAAGCCAAAGGGCGTCTTTCACCGACCAAGTTGACAATTGACCAATAGTGCTTGATGCACTTTTTTTATCAGCCAGGTGTCAGACACATGCGGAAAACCATCACCGTCCTTAAGAGCAACCAAACCAAACTGAGAATTCCATGCATTCCACCTACACATGGAAATTTCAGAGATAGATTGTTAGAATGGAATGCGCTCTCTCTCCCTGGAGGGACGCAGCTTACCTAATTCCAGAAAGTATTAGGCACATGTTGGCCAGAGCCAGGATGGAGATCCCACAATGTGCATGAGGGTAACTGCTGGAGTTTAACCCACTAAAACCCATTGACATCGCTGTCTGGCAAACTTTTCCACTGCTTGTCCAGCGAGGTCCACCCTACCCCTTAAGGCTTTTAGCTAGCAGGGTTAATTACATCCCCAAGAATAGTCCACAAAGCATGGAGTCTCATCCTGCAGGACTGCTTGAAATGAACTATGTTCATTTGTCTATTGACTCTTTGCAAACGCACACCTCCAAAAGGTTAAAGTGAGCAAAGCTGCTGATTGCAAACCTGCTTATGATATTGTAGGATCATCAGTAGATTTTTTTGGCAGCAAAGCACCGGCTCATTTGGCTGATTATTCAGATTGTGGCCTCTCCCACTCCAGGCTCCGTGAAGCGATCATCCCATCCGCACAACAACGACGACAACAACAAAATTACATTTATAGAGTGCCTTTCACGTCGGGAGGACGTCCCAAAGCGCTACACCCGGCTCCATTGGCCCCCAAAGGATAGTGTTTAACATCCTCGTCCTCTTTTAAATCTCTCCGCTGTCATGCTTCTCCCTACAACTGTGACCTATTAACACCATACCAATCTGTCCGCTCCCTCCGCTTAGCGGGGTCCAGTATTGTATTTGATCCCCCGCCCTGCCAGGCCCACCATTGGTGGTCAGGTTTTCAGCTTTTCTGCCCCACTTTCTGAAGCTCCATCCTGGAATCCCTCTGACTCGCCCCTTCCCTCGCCTCCTTCAAGCGCCTTCTCAAAACCTTCCTCGGTGACCGTACCTTCAGCCAACCTCATCCCTCCCCACCCTCCACCCATTTTGAATCCAAGCACCAGCTCAGGTGCAAACCCTTAAAACTGTCCAGTGCCTTGGGACGTCCTTCTGACATGAAAAGTGCCATATAAATGTAAATTGTTGTTGTACCAGATGTGCTTCCATTTTATTTTATGTAAATTTTAAATTCTTTCCATATCCAGATGTCCGCAATTGGTTGTCAATTTTGATTTACAATCTCCTTCGCTTCATTGATCAGATACAACTTTGCATGTTTCAACCAACAGCCAACAAAAGTGTGTTTGATGCAATAATGCACCCTCCTGTAGAACAACAACTTGCATTTCACGGGGGGTTGCATCCCAGAGCTTCTATATCCACAAATGGACGGGGATCAAATCCTGGTGAACTTTGACCACCAGGTTGAGAAACACTCGTGGCAATTACGAACACCTGGTGGGAATGTTGCAGGCAGCAATGCCTTTCAGCATTCATCCTTCATCTGAAAGCCCTTGTTTCCTTAGAGCACTGTTGTGTGTGTTATTGTAGTCAACACTAGGCAAACAACACATTTGGCCATTTGGCAGCAGCCTCCTGTTTACGCACAAAATAAAATAACTAAACTTGGGAAAGGAGTTTAAACCAGACTGAATTTTTAAATGAGCTATTTTCCTTGGTGGTTATCGGCATATTCAGTGTAACTCTCTGGCCTGAGATTTCTTTAGTGGCTCATTATGTTATGTTATAAGTTCCTGCAATACAATGGGTTGATAGGATTAGCGCCTTAAGTAAGAACGATTTTATATGTAGAAATCAGAACACTTAAACACGACAACTGTGTTGCTTGCTGTTCTGAGTTTAGTAATTTTATGTTGTACTAGAAATACCCTAGAAATGTAGATTGACTCAGACAGACACACACACATTTTGTCTCTATCTATACTCAGCTGGAAGGACTCCTTTTGGGAGGACTATCTTAGCTACGCTAACCGAAGGGGTTTACTGTGTGATCCTGCACGTCCTCGAGTTATTGTAAGGCAAAAAAAACTGCCATACATTTGTTGCAGAATAAATTAGTATAGATGTATCTCTTTAGAAGGGTATGTGCGTTCCTCTGTAGCTGCTCTGTTGCAGAATACCATGCATACCTCATATTTTGGGGCTAAATTAAAGCATTTTTTAAATATAGCTCATCAACAAAAGAGGATCCCCCAAAAAATGCCCATGACACTCACGCATGCAAGACCTTTCCAATGAGGTATAAATCATGTCTCTATGTCAATTGGTTATTGACGGATACACAAACAGACACACAGACACTTTGCCTTTATTAGAATAGATGTGAACAGGAGGCTGGTGCCAAATGGCTGTGTCTGTGTGCTTTTTGCCCAGTGGAGACTACAATCCAGAATACTGTCACTCACACACTCACCCGCACTAAACACCGTACCCCCAATCACACCAGCTCCAGCCAGGCTCCACTGGCGTCCTATCACTGAACAGATCCTCACACTCGTCTTCAAATTGATTCATGCCCTGGTACATCCCTTCCTCTCCGACCTGCTCACTCTCCACTCCACCACTCGTCGCCTCCGCTTGGCTGACTCCAGCCTCATGATTATCCCTCATCCCCTCAGCTCCACCATTTGCACCCACACTTCCAGCCACTACGCCCTGAAAACCTTCTTCCTCTGTCCCTCCTCCTCGTCCCTTCCTTCCCCAACTTCAGATCATGCCTAAAGACCTTTCTCTTCGACCATGCCTACGTTCACCTCCCCCCTCCCCCTGGCTCAATGTCAAGCTCAGCCACTGTCAAGCACTCTGAGACGCTATCCTGCAGGAGGGGCACTGTATAAATGCAAGTGGTTGTTGTTTGTTTTACGCTCATTCAGTTTTAATTCATGATCTATTATGCATCGCTCCTCATTTTTGGAAATGAGAGCGAAAAAACAAACCATACATGATACATTTAGCAATGTACAAAATTTATATTAAATAGCTTTGATAAAACACATTGAAAAATGTGAGGATGAATTTTACTGTGCACAATGTCTAAAGTGGCTCATTGTCAAAGTGACCAAATAAATTGCAAAATACATATACGCACATATGTATGTTTATTTAAATATAGATTTTATTTATTGGCCAGTTTTTTAGTCTGAAATGATAGATGTCTTTGTTAAATATAAGCAGGCTGGCCACTGACTTGAAACCTCTTCCAAAGTTTTGCTTCCTTAATAGGAAATGGGTGGAAAATTGAAAATAAACAGGAAAAAAAATGAAGAAGTCTAAATAAATAAATAAATCTGGGAGGTCTAACCCATCCTTGATGGGAGATGTCTCCCTCTGCCCCCCCCCCCCCCCCCCCCCCCCGCCAACACTTCCTCCCCTCTTTCCATGTGTTCAGTACCACGCTCCTCAATCTCTGCTGTTCTTGTGGAAGGAAAAGTTCCGCGGATCAGGAAGTGAATGTTATTCCTGGAGGTGAGAGATAAAGCAGCCTTGATAGGTATTACAGAAGATCTGCTCAGCTCTGCAGCCTGGTCTCGTGACTTTTCAAAATGTTCAGTGTTAGTGGGTAGCTGAAGGCTGGAGATTGTCCTTAGACCCAGCAGCGTGATGTTATATTTTAACTGTTGGTTGACATGTGAAGTAAACAACTGCCTGTGGCCCATTTCCTCTCTTAATATAGTTGGGGAGCATTTCCTACAGCTTAAAAAAGCACAGGATCTCTTGTTAGTATCACACATAACAGACGATGCCTGGACAGTGCTTCAGTATGTAAGGAGCCTAGAGACTGGGGAAGACATTCTCCAGCCAAGTTGCCAGGCTTATGTTATTTAACGTCCTGTGTATTTCTAGGTTTTTAGCGTTCTCCTTTCCTCTCTTCCTTTCTTGAAAGCAGGGGGCACTTGCTCCAAATATGGAGTCCTGTAGGGTATTGGTTAGAGCACTCGCCTTGCAAGCGAGAGGACCCGGGATCAATTCCCGAGCGGGGCGAAACCTTAGGCAAGTTTCCTTACTCCCACATATATGTTTACCGAGCAGTAAGTAGGAACCCAGTTGTTAGACAATTGGCGGATCAGTTTTCCAGGGATAATAATGCCTTAAAAAGAATTGTGGGACACTGCTGTGTGCAATTAGCCGCTGCGCTTTGCCCACAATACATACAGTCGATTCACTTTACCATATATCCTGTGAAGCCCTTTTTCAGATGTCATAATGACGTGATGTGACATTTTAACGCACTATATCAAATGCAAGGATTATTATTAGTAATAATATTATTAACAATAATATGACTAAAGATTTTGACAGCCACATTACAAAGCGGACATTTTTTTGTGTGTGGATCTAGACACAGACTATCAGCAGGTTGTTTGATATTGAAGTGATGTTCAATCCCGATACTCTCTCACCTCATGTTCAGATCCACTTTCCAGAAGAATCCCTAGATAGCAAACAGCAGGCTCTCTGGTTCATTTTCCCTCCCACTTTCCTTAGCCGAAGAGCACTGAGGCCAATTATAGCCCCAGTTGCTGCTCAACTAACTCACCACAGACCAGAAATCGAACTGGCGAACTTTTGATCTGTATTGATCCCTTTTCCTACATGCCTTTAAGAAGACCACTTACTCCCAGAATCTTTAGATTATATTGCAACCAACAGTTCAACAAATTTAACGTTTTAACTACAAGGTATTTGCTTTAATATGGTTGCAAAACCTTTGGACTTAGGAATGACTTAGGAAAGTCTTTGGGAAAGAAAATAAATGAAAAGGATACAGATGTCTGTCAAAGTAGAAGCAGTAGATAATTTTGTGGCCGATAGGCAAATCCTGGATTCAGAAACCCAGCTATCTGCCTGAGTGCTCGCTGCCAGGATTCATTCCTTCAAGTGTTTGATCTTTGGGGTAATTGAGGAGAAAGTGAACTTTGATAAAACATTAACAACACAGTGTCAAAGCTCATTTTTCATTAGTGTCCTGGCCAGTAATTGTTTCCACTTGGTCCACCAGATTAGAATCAGGATGGGCCTGTTAATTCACTTCATGGCTGTTTACGGGACATTACTGTGTGCAAATTTGCTGCCACATTCGTCTACAGATACGCAGTCACTACACTTTACAGTAAAAATTATGAAACGCTTTGTGACATGCTCCTGACATGAAAGTCGCTGTATCAAAATGCAAGGATTATTATTTCAAAATGACACTTTGTCAGTTACACTACCCCGATCTTAGACAACCAGCGATTAAGTGGAATTTTAGAAAGTTTTTTTTTACGTAATTGGAACTTCAAACTCTACCGCTCCATTGATTTGACAATGCGGCTATCCTCTACTGGGCTTTGAAATGCAAAGTGGTCGTTTACTTCTGGAAGGTGACCTCATATGTAAACAGCCTTCTCACTCTGCCAGCTGTAAATGGGTGCGTTTAAGTAATCTCCATAAAATCTAAATTGCCAGTGAACACAAGAATGTTCAGTGAATGAAGTCCAACATTCACACTGGTGGAGCAGAGATTCCTTTGTGAATTTGGAGTTTGGGCACTCTATTAGGACTGATGGGAGTTTTATCCTTTCTCTGGCCCATCCTATATCCAACGTAGCCCCATGCGCTTCTGTTTACCGAGCAGTAGATAGGAACCCGGTTGTTAGTCGATTGGCGGATCACTTTCCAGGGGTAATATTCCCTCCAAACAAAAATGTGGTCACTCAATCCACGATTGTTTGAGGGACACTGCTGTGCGTAATTGGCTGCTGCGTTTCATCGACAAAATACAAAGTGAATCCACTTTACAGTATATTCTGTGTAGCTCTTTTGAGATGTCTCAATGGGCACTATATCAAATACAAAGATTATTATACGTGAAAAAAGGTTCCAGTCTCCCTCCCAGATAATCATCACTTTGATGAACACAAATATAATGTATTATGAGACCTAGTGTGATGATTCTATGGAGAAAACATTTTAAATAACTTTATTAATTGATAAATTAAAAAGAAAATATTTTATTATAGTTAAGCTATTTGTAGATGTACTCGTGCATGTACTGTAATTAAATCTCAGACATACCAATGAACAAAATGCTGTTTTGTCAACAGATTGTCAGACATCGTGAAGAATCTCACAAAGAAAGACATTGAGAGATGTGTGAAGACGCTTTTGTTTGAGATAATCTGTACGGATGAGAAGGGTGAAGATCTTGAAGTGCCCACTGTTTTCTATCAGATACGTTAAGTGGAGAGAGCACTCACACCCAAATGCAGTAGTTTCTTACAGCTTGTAGTTTTAACAGTTTGTCAATCATACCTATTCATCAGGTTTATATTGAAACTTTTAACCCCAAAACTTGTTTTAAACAAGTTTAAAAAGTTGTGGCATTTAAATTACTATAATGCGTTTTTAGTTGATGATGAGCTATAATTGTCATAAAAAGTGGATCAGGTTGAGGCCAGACACTGGACCCATTTAATAAACATCTCAATGCTGTGCTGGGAGGAAGGTGGTAGGTGGGTGTTCTCTGGAAGGATGAGATCAAGCGGGCAGAAGGACCTTCTTTGTCCCAACTGATCTTGTGAGCACTTTCTGATTAAAATAACATTCTTGATCTCTGGCATTTCCTATTGTATGCAACATAGACTGAGAAACTGAAGACCTCTCTCTGTCACCTGGAAAAGTCCTACTCTATTTTGACTGCGTACTTAAGTGTTAAAACTTGCCACATTATCTAAATTGCAAAAGACAGATTCAAAAGGCCTTCTCTTAAAACTAGCTTCAGAACATAATATAAATTAAATGTAAAAGTTCTCGGGATGTCTATTGGACTTACTAAAGTTGTCAAAAAGATACCAGCACCCCCAACTTTAATTATTAACAGTAAGTGTAAGATCACTTGGCATTAATAATCAGCGCTCTCTGCCTTCAGCAAGAGTAATTTGCGGCGACTAATTATAACTCAGATTTCCTGCTCTAAATTGCTAAGCTAGCAAAGCTAGCAGAATCGATGTTAATTTTCATGAGCGGTACAGTATGCTTGAGGCGTTAGTGAAATTATTTTGTGAAGCATCAATGCACCTTCCGGCTATTTAAATAAAATGTCATTACTGCCTGACTTCTTGGGAATGAAATGGATGAGACTCAAGAAGAATATAAGTTGGCATGGGGGTTCATGGTAGAGAGGAGCGATGTCAGGAAAAGGGCTGTTTGTAAGCTATTGTTGGTATTATTCGCCCCTTCTCTTCCTATTTTCAGGTCTCTGCTGAAGACCTTTCTTTTCGACTGCGCCTTTGGTCACCTTCCTCCCCAGCCCCCTGGCTCTGCCCCAGGATCCATTGCTATGAAGCGCTCTGAGGCGCCTCTGATTTATGCACCATGTCAGGACTTGGAACTCATATATACTCCAGGCTGATACTCCGGTGCAGTGTCACAGTTGCTGTTCTTTGGATGAGACATTAAACTTTTAATGATACCATGGCACTTTTCGAAAAAAGAAGGGGGTTTCTCCTGGTAATGGCCAACAATCCCCCAAATAAAATTAGTCATTCGCTTCACGGTTATTTGTGGGAAATGATTGCTCAAATTTTCTGCCGTTTGCCTACAAAACACAGTAACACTTTACAGTAAATCCTGTGACCTATTTTGAGATGTCTTCCCGAAGTGAAAGGCAACATATTAGATGTAAGAGTTAGTATTATAAAGATCCCATGGTACTATTCAAAAAGAAAAGAGAGTTTCTCCTGGTATCCTGGCCAACAATATCCAGATAAATTGGCCATTCATGTCATGGCTGTTTGTGGGATATTGCTGTGTGAAAATTAGCTGTCACATTCGCCTACTAAATACACATACACTTCGCGGTAATCCCTTGAAACATTCTCAGAAGTGTTCTGGATATAAAAAACAAAATTAAGGATTTTTTAAAAATTATTACAAGCATAGATTTAAATTTCTATATCTATATCCACAACAACTTCAGTTTGCTTCCCCATAGACCACAGATTTCCTGCTCAGGATTTCACCCACTGTGGCCACACATTGCAATCTGGACTCATAACAGGAACAAGGGCAGTTTAGGGAACAATGTGATTATGGAAATAACATTTGAGCTGGTGTACAGTCAGGATTTTGAACGTTGCCTTCAGCTGGGTGTGAATTATTCTTAACCTGAACGAACAGGAAATTTAGAAACAGCACAATTGTTTGACGGTGCTGTAGAGTACTGTAGTGGTTTTTGGTTCGCTCTTCATTTTTATACTCTTAACTGCTATTTTCCATGCATGTCCAGACATTGGAGGGACTATGCTGCACTGAAGTAAACAGCTCAGTAATCAATTTCATTGTGTGGCATTTTGCAGGAAATCATTGCAACAAAGGCTAGGACAAGTTACTATTAAATGGAACGGTTGTGTTCAGCCATGGATGCTAATTACATGCACAGTAAGACTCACGCTTGGCTGACCTTTTCCCTGCATCGAATTACATACTGTAAAGGTTCTAGCCACAAAGTTGTCTACAATAAACTGGATGGTAGGTATCCCTGGAATGTGAGCCTCTGTTGTGGTGATCTACCAAATAAACAAGAATTCTCAGGCAAAGTTATTAAGAGGTCATTTGTGTTTATTTTAAAGCATTGTATAAAATATAAAAATGTATATACACAAGCTAAACTATTATATACACGTTGGGTTATATCAAAAGTATTACAAAAGGGGAAATTAACGTACGCTTCTGGCAGAGAGAGCAAGAGGTAAGCTTTGGTTTGTTTGTTTGTTTGTTGCTACACGTAACTAATTGTGTCGTTGCAAATAATTGGTTTCCGACTCCTGCTTTTCATCAAAGCAATAAATTTATCAAAGTCTGTGGATGCTTCTTGTGCCTGGGGTAAGTTAGTGTGAGAACGGTGCAGATAAGAGAGCTTTGGGATGTAATTACCCAAATTTGTCGGACAAGAGAGTCTCTTTGATAGAGCATGTGCTCGGCTGTTGTCTCTGGCACTCTGCTGCTTCAGGTCTGCGCTCTTTGACCTGTCAGACCTGGAGATGTTGGCCAGTTTGCGCCTGACGTTTCCGGAGATGTTGAGAATGAATTCCTGAGGTTTGCCCAACCACCTGCCCGAGTGCTCTCTGCCGGAACCTTTCCTGGGATCTTCCATTTCCTCAGGAAGGTCCATCCAGTTCTCCACCAGGTCCGCAAAGCAGTTATCGCCCAAGACCAGAGGCTGCCTGGTCCTGCTCTGAGACAGCAGATTCACTGTCCAGTCGTTGGCTTCCGTGCAGTCAAAGATTCTCCAAGTGCATTGCTCGGAGTAAACGTCTGATGTTGACTTGGGCCTCACTTTTTTGTTTGCTCCGAGTCCGTTTTTATTCCTCAAGATGCCCACAGGTGGGAGTCTGTTTTCTCTCAGGCATGGGGTGCTCCCCACACGGGCCGACTTGGTGAGTGTGGGACCCGAGGCTTCGGAATAGCCTGAGTCGAACTCCAGACTTCTCTCGCTGGTGGGCGAAGCGAAGAGGGATGGGCTGCTCTCCTCCTCGTCTCTGGGCGACGCCAGGCAGCAGGCGGAATCGTACGTGTCCGCCTCCGAGACGTCCGAGGTGAAACTATGGGAAACGGTCACTTTGGGGTTGGGAGGGCGGGCTGCCTCCTGCTTCAGCCCCAGGCTGCTGATGTTGTGAATCTGTTTGAGCTCCTGAAGCGCGTGCATCATGCACTGCATCTGGTCTCGTAGACAGGCTCCAGCCTCCTTCATACTGATCTGGATCAGAGGGGAAAAAAGCACGAGAAAATGATGAGCGATTTCAATTCCAACACTCGTCATTATAATTGTTTCCTGTCACTTAATAACAATAATATTAATCCTTGCATTTGATACAGCGCCTTATCACGCAGTTCAGGCGTCTCAAAGCGCCTCACAGAATATATATTATAAAGTCGATTGACTGTGGATTTTGTGGGTGAGACGCGGCAGCCAATTGCGCCAATGCCGTCCCACAAATGGTCGTGGATTGAATTACCACTTTTTTTTCTCTAGGGGTAGAACCGTGTATCTCAATGTATGTGGATGCATTCTTCAGTCAGTGTGAGTCTATATATGTTCCTCACTCGATATGTTTATGCGTAACGCTCAGTCAGTGTGAGTGTGTGTATTCTATGTTCATGCTTGTGCGAATGTTTGTATAAGGCTTTGTTTATACTGGTTTCTTCAGGCTGGGTAAGGCCCACAGTAACCCGCCTTCATACTTAAACAGCACAGACCAGCCTGTTATAAAGAGACCTATTTGTGGAGAGACCCATCCGTGACTGTCCTTGGGTGCACAGGATTCCAGTCATATGCAGTAATAAATACTTGATGAGCCAAATGGACATATTTAGCCTAGGAACCTCTGATCTGTATTTGTGTGTATTTACGAGTCGGAAAAACATTTACGGAAATTAAGAAAATGAACTTAAGAAAATGCAAGCAATTTAAGAAAAATGACATATTGACAACTTCAAGGAGAGTAACTCGAGGGATTTATATTTCCAATGACTGATGTGAGAATCAAAAGCAATATTTTGAAATTAAGATGCTCGACGTTGCTTTCTTCAGTGAAAAAGCGGTGACGTTAGGACATACCCACTTCAGGTTTGATGGCACTTTTATAATACACATCAATTGCAATTTTGTAAAAATTTCTCCAAAAACATGGTTTCTCAGACCAAAACCATCCCGAGAAAAACACAAGTCTACAGGGCTCCCCCTGGCGGCCATCCAAACCAGGAAGGTCCTCAGCCAGGTTCATAGCACAGTGTAGCTGTGTTGATTGATGGTGAAGCTGATGTATATTAAGTTTACAGCTAAGAATGTAACTAATACACCACAAAACACCAGTAAATCTACCAAACCGTGACAGTAAACTTTCCAGAATTTGAGTTTCGTCGCCCTGACTGGTACTCTAGTCACAGTATAAATAATAATCCTTGCATTTGATATAGCGTCTTATCGCATCGTTGAGACGTCTCACGAGCGCTTCACAGGGCATACGGTAAAGTGGACTGACTGCGTACTTTTGGGGTCGAAACGCGGCGGCCAATTGCGCACAGCAAATATAAAGTTTTTGGCGGAGTAAAATACATTGTCAAAAAAAAAGTCTGTAACTTTCATAATTCCCTCCCAAACACACAGACACACACATTAAAGTCAGACTGAGTTAATATCCCATTGTTCCTCCCAGCTCTACCATGACTAACAAGAGGTAGGGACATTCACTCCCTGAAAGCATTCCTGTTGAAAAGCAACCTTGGGCAGGTAGTAACATGCAGCCAAGTCAGCCTTGAAGCACCTGGTGATAAAGTGATCTTCCCCCCCCTGGCTCATGGCTTTTTTTTTTGTCCAGCCTGGTTCACATTCATTAACTGAGAAAATCCCTGCAACTCACACTGCATCCCCCAATAGCCCAACAAATACCCCCCCACCCCAAAAAAACAAGGGTGCTGGCTGGACCTGCTGACATGCTCTGCAATGGGAAGGGTTGGTTCAAGCAAACCCTCAGCCTTTGTGAGGGGGAGTGAGATGCTGACAGGTTTGATGGGCAGAGAGGTGAGCAGCTCCTGGATGTCCCTGACTTGGTCTGGGGGTCTGGTCTGTCTGTGCTTAATCCCTGGTCATCTGTCTGCTCCCTGAGCTCTTAACACTCACTCAACTCCTACAGTCCAGGGGTTGATTTACAATCTGGGCAACTCTGTATAGTTACAACACAAAGTCAAACGACGTGAATCCACACATCAAATCATTGCATATATCTATACACACACACACACACACATAGATACAATGTGTAACAATTGACAACGTTTCTATGTAACATCTCATCATTTTAGAATTTTTTTTTTTGCTTTTTTTTTGAGAAACGATATCCTCTGTCGCAATGACATATATTAGATGTAACATGAAAACCTTCCAGTGTGAAGGGATGTCCAGATAATTGTTAACGACTTCTTTTAGACATATTTTTTTTAAAAAAAAGATGGGTTTTTTTTTCCCACTTTTAACTTCTTAAGACAAGAGAAGCCCAAAGGGAGAGACCATTCACATTCACCCCAAAGCATCACATCTATTTGTGTAATTGATCCCTGCATTATTTTCAGGAGTTATTTGCTATTATTTTACTGTTAACCCCCTTTTTTCCCCCCCAATACCCATCTGCATTAGTGCTGATTTCTGGTTTGCACAGCAAATGTTACTTTCTCTCTGTCTCTCTCTCTCTCTCTCTCTCTGTGAAAAAAAAAACCCCTCTGTGGCTATCACGAGAGACACTGATATCACACGAAATTGGCTGCAATTGCTTTGCAAAACTTACCATTTCTTTTCTGAGATGACAAATAAAATCATCGAGTCTGGCTTCCTGCATTACCGAGCTCTCTTTCTTTCTTTCTTTCTCTCCTTCTCTCCTTCTTCTCCTTCTCTCTCTCCTTCTCTTCCTTCTCTCTCCCTCTCTCCCTTGTGCTGACCACTCTCTGATGCCCCTACATTGGCAATTCAGCCCTTTATGACTGACTCCTGATTCCCTTTTTTTTCCCCAAAACTTTTTTTTTTTTTGGGGGTTAAAACAGATATACTCCTACTTTGGAAAGACTCCCTCCCTGAGCTTTGAAAGGAGCCAATGTGAGAGCTGGGCGGTCCCTTTGGGCTTTTTTTTTTGCTCCTCTGATACTAACCTCAACTCTGGGTTTATTAGGGGTTTTTGGTTTGAACAGACTTTTCCTGCTTTGGTTTAGGATTTTTGTTTTTGCCCTCAAAATAAAATAGAGGATATCAAACAGGAAAAATCCCCCCACACACACACACACAAAAAAAACAACAACCCACCAGAGAGAGAAAATCCAACAATATGAAGTCATTTGGATATGAAATGCAGTGATTATGTGTCTGTTTTTGGCTGTTTTGTGCCTGTGTTAGACATCATATATATATATATATAATATATATATATATACATATATATATATGCTCTGTGTATAAAGCAATAGTTTCTAATACAATGTTCCCTTGTGCAGGTCACTCACTCACTCACTCACTCATTACTGGCAGGAAATCTCCAGAATGACCAAAACCCATTTCTCTTCATTGTGAATATTTTTAGAATAATTTCTTTGTTGAGATCTTCACTGAGTGAGTGAGTGAGTGAGTTGGTGTTAGAGAGAGAGAGACACACAGAGGCAGAAACTGCAGCACAACTGGACTTGCAGTCTGTAATCCACTCATTGACTGGGGTTGAATCCTGATCTTATTATCAAGTCTTTGTCTCCTTCACAGTTTAATACAGAATATGCAGTTTCATTCTGACACAGTATATTCCATATTAACAGCTTTGCATCTCTGTGGCCGATGCATTAGAGAGAACAGTTATTAAAGAGAATGTGTCGGTCACTGAGATCCTATTTCTGGAGGTCTTTATGGAGTATTTAACCCTCAGGAGTTGAACATCTGGATTCTTAAACGGTATTAAACGGTATAAAGTGCACAGAAGAGGGTTCCATGAACAATCCGCAACAATAATCACCTTAAAATGTCTTTTTTTATATATTTTTAAAAAAAGGAAATGTGCAAAACGCACACAATTCCTATACAATTTCACTCCGTGTAAATGTGATCCAAGTGTTCAGGAAAATATTGTTTATTATTATCGATTGGTTCATCGATATTCATATTTGATGTGTTAACATCTGGAGAGAATCTGCCTCCACCTCGAGCAGATGTTGGTCTGTCCCACAAACACTGACACAGACACTGACACAGACACTGACACAGACACTGACACTGACACAGACACTGACACAACCACTGACACAAACACTGACACAAACAATGACAGAGACACTGACACAGACACTAACACTGACACAAACACTGACACTGACACAGACACTGACACAAACACTGACACAGACACTGACACTGACACAGACACTGACACTGACACTGACACAACCACTGACACAAACACTGACACAGACACTGACACAAACACAAACACAAACACTGACACTGACACAAACACTGACACAGACACTGACACTGACACAAACACTGACACAAACACTGACACAGACACTGACACAAACACTGACACAGACACTGACACTGACACAAACACTGACACAAACACTGACACAGACACTGACACAAACACTGACACAGACACTGACACAAACACTGACACTAACACAGACACTGACATTGACACAGACACTGACACTAACACTGACACAAACACTGACACAAACACTGACACAGACACAAACACTGACACAGACACTGACACAGACACTGACACAAACACTGACACAGACACTGACACAAACACTGACACAGACACTGACACAGACACAAACACTGACACAGACACTGACACAAACACTGACACAAACACTGACACTGACACTGTGGGGCTCTCTGTGGAGAGGGTGATATGAATGGCTGTGTCGGGGCTGTGGCTGTGTCGGGGCTGTGTCGGGGCTGTGGCTGTGGCTGTGTCGGGGCTGTGGCTGTGTCGGGGCTGTGGCTGTGGCTGTGTCGGGGCTGTGGCTGTGGCTGTGTCGGGGCTGTGGCTGTGTCGGGGCTGTGGCTGTGGCTGTGGCTGTGTCGGGGCTGTGGCTGTGGCTGTGTCGGGGCTGTGGCTGTGTCAGGGCTGTGGCTGTGGCTGTGTCGGGGCTGTGTCGGGGCTGTGGCTGTGGCTGTGGCTGTGGCTGTGTCGGGGCTGTGGCTGTGGCTGTGTCGGGGCTGTGGCTGTGGCTGTGTCGGGGCTGTGGCTGTGGCTGTGGCTGTGTCGGGGCTGTGGCTGTGTCGGGGCTGTGGCTGTGTCGGGGCTGTGGCTGTGTCGGGGCTGTGGCTGTGGCTGTGTCGGGGCTGTGGCTGTGTCGGGGCTGTGGCTGTGTCGGGGCTGTGGCTGTGTCGGGGCTGTGGCTGTGGCTGTGGCTGTGTCGGGGCTGTGGCTGTGGCTGTGGCTGTGTCGGGGCTGTGGCTGTGGCTGTGTCGGGGCTGTGGCTGTGTCGGGGCTGTGGCTGTGGCTGTGTCGGGGCTGTGGCTGTGTCGGGGCTGTGGCTGTGGCTGTGTCGGGGCTGTGGCTGTGGCTGTGTCGGGGCTGTGGCTGTGGCTGTAGCTGTGTCGGGGCTGTGGCTGTGGCTGTGTCGGGGCTGTGGCTGTGTCGGGGCTGTGGCTGTGTCGGGGCTGTGGCTGTGGCTGTGTCGGGGCTGTGGCTGTGGCTGTGTCGGGGCTGTGGCTGTGGCTGTGTCGGGGCTGAGACACTGAACCTCAGTCAGTGAGACGCGCGGCCACAGGTACAGACTTTGCTCCGGAGGGTGAAACATTATCCTCTCCTTCGTGCACTTTAAACCGAGACACACGACACGACCCCCCGGGGGGAGGGGGGGGGCATTCTCACTCAGTCACTCTCCGTGTCTCTCTCTGAGGAACGTGTTCACACACAGCACAGCACAGCCCACACACACCTCGTGTGTAATCTCACAGCCCATCAGGGACTCTATATAATAATAATAATAATCCTTGCATTTGATATAGCGCTTTTCACGTCGGGAGGACGTCCCAAAGCGCTTCACAGAACACACTGTAAAGTGAATTGACTGTATATTTGTGGGCGAACGCGGCAGCCAATTGCGCACAGCAATGTCCCACAAACAGTCGTCGATTGAAAATGACCAATTTATTATTGTTTTTGGTTTTGGAGGGATTATTATTCTGAGCTGCTCACACTCATTCTGCTGAAAGATTGTATTTATCGCAAATACTCTCCACAGATGATTCGAAACGTATCCCATTTCAAGTACGTGGGGGGGAAAAAAACTCATGTTATCCATCCCCAGGTTCACCCCCCACCTCAGCCGTCTGTCTGTCTCCACAGCTCCACTCTCCACTGGGAAATGACAAGAGTTGGTGCTTTTTTTTAAATAAAATTTTTGTTTTACTGTGTGTGTGTGTGTATTTGCAGGAAAAATACATTATTTTATCAGATTTAGTTCAAAACTTTCCTTAATTCATTCAAAAGCCCAATTGAAATTCTGAGAGACCAACCAACCCACCCACCCACCCACCCAACCCAACCACCCAAACCCACCAACTCAACCCACCCCACCCACCCACCCCACCAACCCAACCCACCAACTCAACCAACCCAACCCACCCACCCCACCCCACCCACCCACCCCACCCAACCAACCCAACCCACCAACTCAACCAACCCAACCCACCAACCAACCCACCCCACCCCACCCACCCCACCCCACTCAACCCAACCCACCCCCACTCAACCCACCCACCCAACCAACCCAACCCACTCACCCACCCACCAACCCACCCACCAACCTCAGGGCAGATGATTCTATGGAATGGATTTGCAGGAATTGTTTTGCATTTCATTAAACTACGATTCCCTTCAGACTCTGAAGGTTGACAATGTTTAGAGCATTTGCAAAACAGTAAATAAAATCAAACGTGTTGTTGTTGTTGCTGCTGCTGCTGCTCTGGGGTGGGAGGTATTTGGTTCCTGTCAGTGATGGTTGGTTGGATTATGTGGTGTGAGCGCCTCCTGGTGGTGTAAACCTCTCATGGTTGGGGTCAGGGACAGTAATTCACTGAGTCAGGATTTTATTACTGGGTTCAAACCAGTCACTGGAGAACAGGCCCCTCTTACAATATTATTTTTTTGGGGGCCCGGAAATTTTGTTTAATTACCCCGTCATTTTGGTTGTGAGTTACGTTCTCTGACATATATGTTGTCCAAGTGGTTTTGGGAATCGTCTGTTGACACAACGTAATTTAACTCCTTTGTTTTTTCAGCCAAGCCATTTATCGCAGTGAAATACACTCAGAAACAGATTAAAATCACAGCGTCTGGACAGGATGAAATTGTGATTTAATGGGCCTGGTGTCTCAATATTGCATTGTTCCTGTATTACCAATGGCTGTGTTTGTCTTTACTTGTTAAGGGTGTTATGGGAAGCTTTCTCTCTCTCTCTCTCTCTCTCGTACAGACGAGATTTGTGTTTAAAAACGTCCTCAAGAGAAGTTCATCGAGGTTCAAACCTCTCTAAGACACTGTCCGGCCTAAAGGGCGCTACATAAATGCAAGTTGTTGTTGTCACGTCGTCCTGACAAATATTATAGTGCTATTTTTGGCTTTTTTCGCTCTGAACTTCTTAAGATTATTTTTCCTCGTAAAATATCATTTTTTAAATATGAATTTTGCCTGCGAATACACAGTCACTACACGTTACAGCGTATCCTATGAAGCACTTTGATAAGTCCTCCTGATGTGACAGGCGCTGTATCAAATGCAAGGATTGTGGAGTCCTGTAGCTCAGTGGTTAGAGCATTCGCTTTGCAAGTGAGAGACCTGAGTTCAATTCCAGGCAGAGGGCGAAACCTTGGGCAAGTTTCCTTACTCCACACACCTAATAATAATCCCTCCAAAACCAAAAACAATAATAAATTGGTAATTTTCAATCTACGACTGTTTGTGGGACATTGCTGTGCGCAATTGGCTGCCGCGTTCGCCCACAAATATACAGTCAATTCACTTTACAGTGTGTTCTGTGAAGCGCTTTGGGACGTCCTCCCGACGTGAAAAGCGCTATATCAAATGCAAGGATTATTATTATTATTATTGTTATTGTTAATTACCCAAATGATATTTCTGTAAATGTTTTTTCTCTGTATTCTTCGTGCACTTGGTGGGTCAGGTCAGATCCAAAATGGAATAAATCTCCGCCAGCCCACCATACCCACCATACCTGCTGGCCTTTAGTGACCAGAGATATCGACTTTCACTCAGTTTGATTCCCGTGAGCAGAGGACAAGTTATTTGCTATCTTCTGCTGACGAGATTAACACAAATACAATGCCAGTAATTGCCAGTGCGCTGCTCTGTTGGAGGTTAATAGAGCTCCGTTGGATGAATGTTCCACCGAGGATTCGTCTGCCTGTCCGGGTGGATGTTAAAGAGCCTACAGTGCTATTCAAAAAGAGAAGAGAGTTTCTCCTGGCGCTTTGGCCAACAATCGCCCAAATTAAAACAAAAAATGGCTGTTTGATTTAATGACTGTTTGTGGGACGTTGCTACTGCATTTACCAACAAAATACATCGTGAATCTCCCCAGAACAGTCGCCATACGTTACGCTGTGTCCTGCGCAACGCTTTGAGATGTCCTCCCAATGTGAAAGACGCTATTATCAAATGAAGGACCACTTATTGCACCTATTTAAATTCTGGCAAAAACTTCCCTCGTGTTTGCTCAGCAGCGTTTTCTGTTTACGGTGTTAACCGCAGTATAATTAAATACAATTTCACAACATGACATGGCACTCAGCACAGATTATTATTATTATTATTATTATTATTACAGTAAACAAAAAGTGTGAGGAATCGCGGCTCCCAGTGGCCGGTCTGTCCCTCTGAGGTCTCCGGACGAGCCCCGGGTCTAGAACCTGTCTATTGGAGACCACCGAGTAGTTGATGTCCCCGTGAACCTCCCCAGAGGCAGAGGATTGCAGTGGTGACCTGAGCACCTGAGAGAGGAGGGGGAGTGTCACAGGGGGTTCAGTTACTGGGGGCGCTGTGCTGGTGATTGGCTGCAGTGAGGCTGAGTGACCGCGTGGGGTCGCTGTGCTGGTGATTGGCTGCAGTGAGGCTGGGCGGCCGCGTGGGGTCGCTGTGCTGGTGATTGGCTGCAGTGAGGCTGGGCGGCCGCGTGGGGACGCTGTGCTGGTGATTGGCTGCAGTGAGGCTGCGCGGGCGCCGGGTGGCGCACATGTGCCGACCTCAGCTGGTCGCGAGCAGCTCCGCCTCCAGATGGAGTTGGCAGCGGCTGCGGGTTGACGTGTCTATTCCTCGGCGTCTCTCCGCGGACACAGGAGCCAAAGCAGCGCCTCGGGCAATGTCGCACCAGACAGGAATACCCGGTAAGTGCTCGTCTGGGAGACGAATCGTTGACCGATGGGGAGGGGGGGAGGGCGCGTGCGCAGCCGCTCGCGGCTCGAGGTCCGGGCGAAGCTTAACGGTTTCTCCTCAGTTGCCGGGAAACCGGCATCGAGTCCTCCCGGGAGACAACCGCACTTAGTGGGCGCGGATGTCCCACCTCTGCGCCTCGGCTATTGGCTGGAGGGCGGCCGGTGTAGGCTCGGATTGGCTGCAGCGAGCTGTCCATCAGGCCGAGCGCCCGCCCCCCGCCTCCCCAGCAGGTTAGGGTGCCCGGGAGGCGCTGTCAGGGCTGTTCGGGAGATCCTCATTACACCTCAACAGTAAATTAAACTGAAGCTCTATTTAAAGTTAAACTCATCAGTAAAGTTCAAGATCCCCGTCCTCGTCCCCCCCTCCCGCTGCCCCCGCTATAACCTCCCGGTCCCCCCCCCCCCCCACTGTCTGCTTCACCATCAGCCTATCCCCCCCCTCCCTGTGGAACTCCACCCCAAAGCCCCCGCGCCTCACCCCTCACTCACCCCCTCACTCCTCACTCACCCCCTCACTCACCCCCTCATCCCCTCCCTCACCCCCTCATCCCCTCACCCCCTCATCCCCTCACTCACCCCCTCACCCCCTCACTCACCCTTCACCCTCTCACTCACCCCCTCATCCCCTCACTCACACCCTCACTCACCCCCTCATCCCCTTACCCTCTCACTCATCCCCTCACTCAACCCCTCACTCACACCCTCACCCCCTCATCCTCTCACTCACCCCCTCATCCCCTCAGCCCCTCACTCATCCCCTCACTCACCCCCTCATCCCCTCATCCTCTCACCCTCTCACTCACCCCCTCATCCCCTCAGCCCCTCACTCATCCCTTCACTCACCCCCTCATCCCCTACCCACTCACTCACCCCCTCACACCGCCTCACTCATCCCCTCAACCCCTCACTCACCCCCTCACCCCCTCACTTGCTTCCTTCAAGGCCCATATCAAAACCTTCCTCTTTGACCGTGTATTCAGGTGTCCTCCCACCCCTTGTCCTCCACCCCCTATTGCTTCAAACCTGCAGCTCAGGTGCAAACCCCTCGTTGTCCAGCGTTGGGGTTGTCCTCCCAACTGTCAAAGGCACTACATAAATGCAATTTATAATCTTGACGGCCTCATGTCAGATTAGCCCCAACTGTCCTCATGAATCCAATTTCCCACAATGGCAGCGGAGCTTCCCAATGCCTCTGTATTATACGGTGATATTTTCTAAACCAAATCCAGAGACTCATATCATAGAATCATAGAATTATACAGTGCAGAAGGAGGCCATTTGGCCAATCGATGTCTGTGCCGGCTCTTTTAAATGAGCTATCCAAATCAATCCCACTCCCCCGCTATAGAATCATAGTATATATATATATATATATACATTATATATTATACAATATAGGAGCATTATATATTATATATACATATTAAAAATTTAAACTCATCACAATTCCTGATTACTGGCTGTATTTCTGTATCTGATCAGTGTATCTGTTTTTGAATGTTATTGTTCTGCTCAGGCTGTTGCTGAACTTAAGACAGGGCAAATTTTCCAGCGGCACAATACTCTTATGGGGACTGTTCCCAGAAATCAGGGAAGTACAGTCACCCTATCTGTAATAACAGCCTTTGGCACAGTGCAATTCACTGCCAGAGAGTTTCTCAAAGTGGGTTTAAAAACAGGGCATTTGTGGGCAAATGCGGCAGTCAATTTACACACAACAATGACCCCACAAACAGCCATGAAATGAATGAGCAGTTTTAATTGGGGGGTTATTAGCCAGGACACTGGAAGCAACTCATTTGTTGAGCTTCTTCTGAGTGGAGTTCCATTTTTTTCTAACATTTTACTGTTTGTGGTGTGACAATTTCTGTGGAAAAATGTTTTTTTCACAATTTTTTTAAAAAAGTGCTCAAAGTGTAGTCGCTAAATAATGGACTTAGGGGAGGAAATCATTTGTTTCCATGTTAATGTGTCAGTGTTCAGGTTATCCTCAATATATTGAGAAATGATAAATAAAATAATAAATCCTTACATTTGATGTAGCACCTAACTATATTCTCAAATGTCTCAAAACACTGCACAGAATTTACTGTAAAGTATGACCTGTAAAGAGTGACATATTGTCATTCCATTTTACAGTAAATCCTGTGAAGAGCTTTGGAATGCCTTCTTGATGTGAAAGGTGCTACACTAAATGCAATAATTATTATTATCTCTGTATTTTGTAGTGAACATCCCAGCTAATTTGCGTACAGCAATGTCCTACAACAAACTAGGAGTAAACGAGTATAAAAGGATGAGGGAGGGTGGAGAGCAGAGAATCAGGCTTACAGTTTATGTGCAAAGGGATGAATTTCATTTGTCTCCTGGGTACACAACTACAATGAAAAAGTGCACTTTATTGACAGTGGATAGTTCCAATGGGGGAGCTGGCACCAGTATAGGCTTGTTGGACCAAACGGCCTCCTGTGGTGTAATTTTCATGCTATATAATTTGTGGGAAGGATTCCCTGAGGCATATCTAATGGTTCAATGAGTTGTGGTACCAGGGAGGTCGATGTCTGATTCATGACAAGTGAAGAGTTGCCTATGATGAGCTGGTTGATGTGAGTGGGAGAGTAGTAAGACTGGACGCTGAAGGGGCTGAATTGACTTCATTAGCCGCTTGTTGGGGAAGGAAAATTGCAACTGTGGATTATCTTTGAGTCATTTGACACACAATCCAGTTGTCTGGTTGCCGGTATATGATATGGGAAGACTTAGAAGGAGAAAAAAGATAATTAACCAAAAGAGGATACAGAGTGGCCATCTTGAGGGTGTTTCAAAAGGTGTTCCTTTTTCTGCTGCTTGGATGTCCATGAATTGTAACATAAGCAAATAAGATAAGATGGTATCCAATGACGAGCATTAGAGTGTTACCAGGCGATGCTTTGCACTTTAACACTGTGCCTCACTTGAAGTTCACAGTCCACACCAAACCTGCATTAAAGATACTATTTGCTATCTGTTTGCTGTGCTCTGTAATCTGTAACTATTTCATTGTGGCGGTGGAAAGAATGACCTTGTCATATCATTCGCTCCACTGGGTGTGGATTACATTGCTAGCGTATGAGTAGTTTGTCAATAAAGTGCACTTTTTCATTGTAGTAGAGTACCCAGTGCACATATGAAATTCATCCCTTTGCGCATAAATTATAAGATCGCATTACCATTTATTTTATACTCTGATTACAGGCATTCGGTTTAATCGATTTTACGTCATCAAAGAGGAAGGGGAAAGCCTTTTGGCACCTTTTGCAATTGGAATTACCTTGGCTAATCTGTTCACGATTAAGCATTATGTTACCTGCCTATAGAATAACTTGAGCTTGCTGCATCGGAAATGAATCTGTAGCTATCATATTCTCAAATGAGAGTACGTACTTTATTCCTCAACCACCTTCAAGCACCAACTACACTCTTTGTGTATGTTTTTTAAATTTTGTTAGGTGATGCTTTCAACAAAAGATTGAATTGCACACTATAGTTAATAGTAAATAAGTTGTGCCTTTATAAATGAATAATGCCTTGGTATAGAAAGATGCAAACCGAAGATCACAGTCAATCCAAACCTCGAGTCGGATATGAAAATGTCACAGCAGAACACAGACCATAGACCTTCTCCATTCCGAGCGTTGTGAAGTCATGCATTCATTTCTCCCACAATTCTTTTAAGAGCATTGCAGAGGCATGAGAGCAGGTAACTTCGCTGATGGGTAGCACCGAGGAAACATGGCTTAGAAAATGTAATGAATTTAACAATCTGGTTATGAAAAAAGCAGAGAAATATGGGAGTGAAGAAAGAAAGGCAAGCTCTGGTTCTTTGACAGCTACCATTGATGGATCAATTCAGCTTCCAATCCCAAATATAATATCATTAATTTGCAGGTCCGTTCCTGTGTAACTGGGTAAGAAGTGTTGGGGAGAGAGAATATTCTTGAGTTTCTTTTTAATTTTGAACTTGAGTTCTGCACTCTTAATCATGCAAGATGTGCATTTTAGAGCGGAAAAAGCAGAATGTGTTTTTTTTGCTGAGCCTCATCTGTATTTGGTACAGCTGGGGAGTACACATGTGACATACTCTTATTGTAGCTGGAATATGTCGCAGGAGGATGAAACAACATTGAAAGTATTTCCTTTCTTCTACACTGAGGCATTCGAGAGCACGGGTTCAATAATCCGCTCTGCCTGGGTTCTAATCTCAGCCTCACCACTGCTGAACTGAAGGCAGGCGGCCGATCGGCTGCTTGTATTGTGCACCTGCAGTATATGTCTCAAGAGCAGAGACTGAGATCTGGGGAAGTTGCCTAATCTGGAAAACTGCAAGGAGAGAAAGATGCACAGAAACTATCAAATCCTTGTTCCTTGTACAAGAACGCGAGATACATAAGACTTGATGTGACGAGATCCTGTCATTCAAGAGATATTCAAAACTGGTTTAACTTTGGTAAATGTAAATCCTCACCGAGAGATGGCTGCTCACATTAAGCAGCATTTTAAATGTTAATGATAAAGCCATTGCCCATGACTCAGCTGATGGTGAGAGGATGACTGCAGTGCAGAGTCCACGTGAGGTTTAGGAAGCAGCTGGTTTTCTAGGCACTTTAGACCACACAGGGAATGCTAAAAATTTGATCTTTGAAAAAAATTTTCTTTAACCTTATCTGAAAATAAGTTGGAAAAATTACAGCATTTGTACATCTGTAAACCTTTAACTCAGTCTCTGTCATGGACAAATCATGGATGTTTTTCTATTCTGCTTCTCGGTATTAGTATAAGCTTCTGGTATAAAAGCCTTCACTAGATTCCTCTTTCCACCATTTCCCTAAGAAGTCAAGCAGACCAGTTACTACAACAACAACACATTGCATTTACAACAACCACAACTTGCACTTATACAGCGCTCTCCACGC